TTATATTTTTATTTTAGTTTTTTGAAACAAACATTCTATGAACAAAATATTTTTGACATTATTGCTCTAAATTATCAATTGCCATTTATATCACGTATTTTATCTTGAATAATAATTGATTCGGGTTGAAATAATTATTTCATGCAATATAAGTGTTGCAAGTATAAGTATTTATTGTAAAATAAATTTTGTTAAAATATTCGCGGTAGATAACAACAGATTTTTTAAAATCCATGTCTTGTAGTTTGTACTGTAAACATTACATTGTTCAGATATGGAATAATTTAATACTTATTTCATAACGACATATCATACTAAAATATAAATACATAAAGTTATGTGTATGTAATAATAAAAAATATTTTTAATTATTTTATATCTTTTAAAGCTTAGCTATTAAACTCAGGATATGTTTATAATTTGGTCAGTACAGGCAATTAGATGTTATTTAGTAAAAAATTGGGTCGCCAAAACTCGTCGCGTGTTATTTCTCGGAGCTCGTTCCGTAAGTGCTCTTTCTCGGAGCTCGTCGCATAAGTGTTTCTTCTCGAAACATGTCGCGTGTTATTTCTCGGAGCTCGTTCCGTAAGTGTTCTTTCTCGTAGATCGTAGCGTAATTTTTCTTTCCCGGAGCTCGTTTTGTAAGTGTTCTTTCTCGGAGATCGTCGCGTAAGGTTTTTTTCTCAGAGCTCGTGCAGCTGCAGAATGAATGTCTGGAAGCTCGTCTAGCCGCTGTTTTGTGCCGGAGCATGGACTTCGGAAGGGCTGAGCTTAGCCGTAATACTTTATATAATATCAACATTTACAGATACTGACATATACTTCCTAAGCCTCAATAATTTAATTATAAACTAATTATTAATTTACAATGGCATTCAGTTCCGAACACAGATGGATAATTTGAATATCTTTGATATTTAAATAGCAGTAGCCTGGATATTATTGCTATGTACCCTATATAGGTAGATTTTTTTTTCTATAAAAATCTTATTATCAGAGTCTCATTACTAAAAAATTCTCATGATGAATTAAATAAATATTAAAATATATTGTAAATAGATCATTTTGTTTTAATATATAAATACTTTACTTTTGTAGCTGGGACCTCTGCGAATCTTAATTTGCTACACTAGCGGATTTTTCAATATGCCAATTAAGCGATTCTTAGCTATGCTTCATTTGTCATTGTAAATAAAATAAATAGCTTTGCGGGAGTTCCTCTAGTTGGAATGAACGTGGTTGTTAAAACTTTCATTCAAGTTAATAACTTTCATGCAATTAACTTCATAACATTTTCAGTTTTAGTAGTATCGATCGAAGCTGTTTAGTTATAAGTTTTGCGGAAAACCTTTGCAATGTAAAGAAAATTGAAAACTTTTAAGGTATAATTAAAGTAAAATGTTACAAATTTAAAATTCATTTTTTTTTTTTTTTTTTACAAAATAGTCATTGTACTACAGTAAATAAGTAATAAAACATAAAATAATTGTAAAACTACCAGTGTTTTAATAGTCAATTGTAAATAAACATTTTTTTTTACTTTCTGTTGGCATTAAAGGCTTTGTAGATCTTTTGCCGCATTAACAAGTCTACTCCATCTCAGTCTATCTTGGACTATTTCTTTCCAGTTATTTGGATGCAGCTCTATTGCATCTTTGTTAATTCCATTTATCCATCTGCTTTCTGTTCTTTTGCACACTATTGAGGTGTTCATTGTCGTATAGAGGCTTCCAGATGGATTGCTCCCAGCTACACGCCCCGCCCATCTTTACCTCCGTGCCTTCATATCATGAGATATTGATTGAACAATTTCTGTAAGCAGTTCTTTTTTAGTCTTTCTTCTCCTAAAAAAAAATAACTTTTTTTTAGTCTTTCTTCTCCGCAATGTGCCTTCACGAGCGAATGAAAAGAATAGACCGAGAGTTTTGGAAAAAATACAAAATCCCCTCTCAACGGCTCAAGACACAAAAATCCTTCATGCTGAAGGCGATGGCACTACTTGAAGAAAGAGGGCTTGACTGCGAAAAAAGGGAACCATTTATACATCCACAGTTACCAATTCACAATCACGCATGCAACGCAGAACTGCAACTCCTTCATAAAGTGGACAAGAAAAAAACACCTGAATACGAGTTAAAAGCATTAGCATTTGAAACCGTAGCTCAAAAGTACCCTCCTCAAGATTGGTTCCATATCTATACCGACGGATCAGCTGAATCAGCCGTTAAATATGCTGGAGCAGGGGTTTACTCAAGGGAATTCCAAATCAGCGCTGCGGTGGGAAAAGATGGAACAAATTTCGACGGTGAGATAGCGGCGATCCTCATAGCCTTAAAAACATTGTCTAGAAGGCGGGATCAGAGCGCTGTTATCTTCATCGACCCCCAAGCAGCCATCCTTGCTGTCACAAGCACGAATGAATGTTTATCGATTGCTATATTGGAATGTAAATCCCTCTTCTTTAACCTGACACACCGAGGCACCAATGTGGTCCTACAGTGGATCCCCAGCCATTGTGGGATTCCGGGTAACGTTGAGGCTGATATTCTTGCCAAGCGAGGAACAGATTTGCCTCAGCCGATACATCCAAAACCTTACGACTCAATACGGCGAATGGTGAAGATGGTAGTGAAGGAGGAAATAAGAAAAGTACATTTCGGCAAAGTGGAAGGGAAGCGTTACGAGTGGTTGAAGGATAATCCGATTCCAGCTGAGCTGCCGAGAAGAGATGCAGTTGCCTGCTTCCGCCTGGCTACTGGTCACGACTATCTGCAGAGTCATCTCTACAAGATAGGCGTCGCTGAGGATCCTACCTGTAAATTGTGTCATCTAGGAACAATGGATGCAGACCATCTAGACGCATGTCCTGCCTTGAGGGACATAAGAGACAAAATATTTTCAAATATACATATCAGAAAGTCTAAATTATACTGGGCAGCAAGATGTCGGATGGCCAAATGACCAACGACTGGCATAAGAAAAAAAAAAAAAAGTCTTTCTTCTCCATGTGTTAGTAATCTGATCCCAGATCGCACTGGATTATGTAATAAATAAATTAAATAGATCATTACGTAATATTTCAATATTTCTTTACTTATCGTATTTATTTAATGTTTATAATTTTAGAACCTTACTGCTATGTGAAATTTGTGTCTCTCCACCGCGTGTTAGTACTCTTACCCCAGATAAAGAAATAATATTCCATTAAAATCTACCGTGTTATGTGACTGAAAAATTTACTCAGATGAAATTAATTCTAATTAATGGTTCTAGTGTTGCCTTCTGGTTACAAAACATTTGACTAAAATTGTTTTAATTATCCAAATGAAATGAACAAACAGTTGATGTTTATTTTTCAGTGGATTTTGCGCCATATTTGTTCTCAAGTTTCTCTAACCTTGTTTCTGTTTTTCCATATAAAAGTCGCTCCTTTTGAATTCACATCAGTTCTTCATCTCCAGTACCGTCGCGTAAATGGGGTGCAGCGATCGCGGGGTCGCTACGAATTGGAAACAAAAACAAAAAAATATGATATTCATGAGAAATATTTCTATCTGCATTTCATTTTGTTTCAATCATTTTCTTTTCAACTAGACCCTAAACTTTTTAGTAGCGCAGCAAGAAATATTGATTCTGGGACGAAATCCGGAGTGAGGCACGTTTGGAGCAATGGAGCAGCAAGATTACGCATAACAGTAGTTTTTGCATTCCTCAATCCATTAGTCATTGCAGCATCAAAGTTGAAGATCAATTATGTATTTCAGGTTCAATCCTTTAACTCAAGCAGAGAATCAATACTTCAGATTGTTTAAGTAATTTTGGAAAATGTGGGTGTCCTAATTTCTGATGTTTTACAAACCATGAATGCTTGCATAGTTTTCTGTCGCCAACCTGGTTCTTCTAGGTATTAACGGTTTTATCTTATAAGCCTTTTTCTTTTCATCAACAAAATATTGGCACTCCTGGTCAAACCAGTGGCTGTTCATATTTCCCACTTCTTCTGCTATGATTTCTTCAGCAGCCTTTAGAGCAGCTCTCTTCATTTTTTTCCATTTATTTTCGATATTTTCCTGCTCTTCTAGTTGTCCACTTTCTAGATATTTCTCCACTTTTCTTTCACGTTTCTTTTGGATGTGTGGCATTTTTAAGGACTTTATACTACATTTATATTTACTCATTTTTTTCCATTTTGGCCATTTGTTCTTATTCCCATCAATCTGCTTGTACTTCACATTCATCAAAAATTATCACTAACTACCTCGGCCTCTCCGCGGCTTCTCACACTTCAAGATCACTTTGGTTACTAATTTATATAGTGTCGTGGTCTACTTGATTTTCGGTCTTTCCATCTGACAATGTCAGAGGAGGGAGGGAGGGAGGGAGGGAGAAGGAGAGGGAGAGGGAGAGAGAGACAGGCATATGTTTTTAGGAAATTAGATGAGACAGAGGTACTGGAAAAGGTGATAAGGAAAAAGAAAACAATATTACATTAGTATAATGTAATATTTTAGTATATATTATATTAGTTAGTAAGTTTTATACAGATACTAACTAATATTACTCGTTTATATTAGTTAGTAAGTTTTATATTAACTTTAGGTTAGTCGGTAAGTTATTATTGTTTAATTATAAATAGTTTAGTTTAGATTAATCTTTAGCTTAAGTTTTATTAATTATCTTTAGTTTATACTACCAGTCTCTTAATTAAATTTTTCATTGGGCTTTAAATAATCTTTTAGTGTAAATTGTAAGCATAAATAATAAATGTTTCAATGTTGATTATCTATAAATAAAACATACGTTAAATTGGTAAGTAGATACCTGAGAATTTCGCATGGTTTTTCTATTTAAATTGGCATAAATCTTTTTTAGAACGAAGATATTACATATATATTCTCTAAATATGTACATTGCTCACTTATCACCAATTCTACCAGCATAGCATATAGTATTTTTTAATAAATAAATTATATATGTTACAATAAACATTTGGGATACCTACTGTTTCTGTTAACAGAGTGCCAGATCTATAAAAGAAGATGGCTGATGCTGATATTGTTCGTTTTCTATTCGATGTCGAACGCCATGCAATGGGTACAATACTCAATCATCGAAAATGTAGTTACCAGATACTACGGACTTGAGCCTACTTCTCCTTGGATAGAATGGACAAGCATGATCTACATGCTAACTTATATATTCTTCATTATTCCAGGCTCTTGGGCATTGGACAAATTCGTAGGTTTTTTTTATTAATTTATTTATTTGTTTTTCTTGTATAGACATATTATATGTTGATAATAACATAAGACATGAAATATTTAAGTTAGTCAATTTAATCACTGATTTTTTCATAAATTAAAAGAAATATATTAAGTCAATTCAATGTTTTGTTCTGCGTTTAGTTATTGTATTGATAGCTAATTCATCAGCTGATGTGAAATGTTGTGTTTCGAACTCGGCTATCAGAATTTACTGCATTTTCAAAAGAATCTATGTTATTATTCACTTAAAAAAAGGTCAAGGATACACCAGAAGAGTTGATATTTACTCTGAACAATTACAAATATATACTATTTTTTTTAAATATTATTATGGCCATCACTAGTAGAGTGGCTAATAAAAGTACTAGGTCGTTAGGCTCGAAACCTCGATCTTCTCCTGTCAAGCAAAGATGTAATGGAGTCCGCGCCGATACCAAGAAACCCCCAAGATTCTTTAAGAACACAAAACATAGTCAGTTACTATGTTCTCAACTAAACAAAATAGAAGACTCCGGAAGCTACTCATGTCAAAGCAGTACAAAAGACAACAAAATATTTCTAGATATAGCTGAGACCTATAGAACAATTGAAATATCGTCCAGTGTCACAACTGCCAGGCGTATGACCACACGAAGACGTATTGCCATCGTTTGACGCGTTGTGTAAAATGCGGTGGACAGCACTAAAATGGTGGGTACGCAAAATCTAAACAAGAGCCTGCAGTTTTTGCTTTGTGCCCTGAAGTACATCCGACGAACTACAAAGGCCAGATATACAAGAGAATCAAATTCAGATATCAAAAATCTCGGTAGTATAAAGAAACTGAAAGATCCAGATCAAGAAAACAACCTTCCGAAATCATAAACACGACAGTATCTTTTGCACACCTATTAAGACACAACAACAATATATACCTCGAAATTCTCAATCACACCATCAACATCCTACAACTCAAATTTCACCAAATCCTTAACAATTCTATCAACACCAAATTCCTCATGTTCCTCCTCCATCAAATACCACAGAACTCATAAGTTTACTTATATCTTTTCTCTCCAAATTCAGATCCCTTGTTACTTCTTTATTATCCCTTCTCACCAATCTTGTATCACATTTTATCCCTCCCCAAAAAAATCTTTAAATGATTTCCAATAAACCTATGATCTTTCTCCTGTGGAATAGGAATGATGTTAGAAATTATACACAAGAACTAGCTGCAGTATTACTTGACAAGAACATTGACGTGGCACTAATTACAGAAACTCGACTAACCACTAAACAGCTCTTCAAAATACCACAATACGATATCGTAATGACCACCCTGACGGAAAGGCACATGCCGGTACTGCTGTCCTTGTACACCAATCTCTCTCCAATCACCTGCTCCCATTACCTACCAAAGATTTCCTGCAATCCACCGCTATCGTAATCAAAACCTTCTCCTTTCCGGTTATTCTTGCATCAGCATACTGCCCTTCTAACCGATCCATATCCAATGCCCAGTTCAGTCCTCTCCTCGACTCCTTAGGACATCACTTCATCTTGTGTGCAGACTTTTATGCCGAACACCAACAATGGGGTCCCAGAACCTCGAATTCTCGCGGTCAAACTCTGCTGTCTGCACTCAATTCCCAACGTTTTCACTTCCTTTTACACAACTCTCCTACCTACTGGCCCACAGATTCTAACTATAAGCCTGATATCCGTGATTCCTTTATTCACAGCGGTTAAAGTCCCCTCAATTATTCCATTAAACATCTAAATGAACTTCCTTCTGACCACAGTCCTCTAATTCATTGTTTCATTTAAACCAGTTCCCAAATCTTTTCCACCGTCATTTATTAGAGCCCCAGTTAAGTTTGGCCAGTCCTCTCTGATAAAATTTATTTCAATATATCCCTAAAAATTCCCGATGACCTATCCAATTACCGTAAATTCCTTTACTACCACAATCCAACAAGCTGCCTGGACTGCCTCCTCTCCAAAAGACTCTCCAAGAATTCCTAAAAAGACCATTCTACCCCAACATCTCCTTGACCTAATCCACATCAAATGCCGTACTAGATTATTATGTTTTAGACATTCCTCTGACCGCTGCTCCTATAATTATAACTGTAAAAAATTTAAACTGGAATTAGCCACCTTCAGATCACAATTTTTTAACTCCTACCTATCCTCCCTCTCTGCTCGTGACAATTTCCTTTGAAAAACCACAACGAAATCCTAAACCCTCACCAAATGTCCCATCCCCTCCGGCTAGATAACGGCTTCAGAGCAACATCTGGCGAAGACAAATAAGAGGAGTTCGCTAAACACCTATCCAATAAATTTATTTCATTTCCGGAATCCCATCCCGTCCACACCGTAACAGTAGAGAAATTCCTTACATCACATGTCCCACTTTCCTTGCCCCCTAAAGCAATTCATCATTCCTAAGCAAAATTTCAATTTCAAAAACTAATCCCCCGTAAATCTCCTTATTCCTCAGATCCTTCGGCAACTTCCACCCAAAGCAGTCATTCCTTACATATATCTACAATTGCCTTCTACGTGCCGCCCACTTTCCTCTATTATGGAAACAAGCCACTATTATCCTTTTACCAAATCCAGGGAAAACCTCCCAACAGCTTGGCATCCTATAGACCAATTAGCCTACTCCCAATCCTTTCAAAGATTCTTTTGAAACGAATCCTATCCCTTATATGATCCCAAAATTTTTCTTCCCATCAGTTTTCGATCAAAGCACTCCACTGTTCAACAAGGATTCCGAGTCGTTGAATATATATCAACAGCTTTATAAAACAAACAACGCTTTCGACCGAGTATAGCACCCCGGGCTGCTCTTCAGGCTTAAAATCCATCTTCCTCAGTCCTTATACCTAACCCTTCGATCCAATCTCTCTGACCGCTCCTTTCAAGTAAGCTGTGGAACAGCGTTTTCCGATGTCTATCCAGTTAAAACCGGTGTTCCCCAGGGCAGCGGCTTGGGTCCCGTACTTTACATCCTCTTTATAAGACCACATGCCGGTACTGCTGTAATTGTACATCAATCCTTCTACCGTCTCCAGCTTCCATTACCTAAACAAGACTTCTTACAATGCACCGCTATCTTAATCAAAACATTCTCCTTCCCGGTTACACTTGCATTAGCGTATAGCCCTCTTAACCGATCCATATCCAATATCCAATTCAGTTCTCTTCTCTAGGTATACGGGTATATACCTGTTACACAAGTGTGCCTCCCCCCTTCCTGTACTCACTCGTTATTCTTAACAAACATTGTTCCAGAATAAAATTATTTTCTACTCTATTCTATTCTATATATTTACATAAGCATGTGTATATGCCATGTTACTTAATTAAGCTTTGTTTCAGGGAATGAGGAAATGTATACTGGTCGGAGCTGGAGGTACTTGCATAGGATCATGGATTAAGGTTCTTTCGCTCAACCCAAATCTCTTCTACGTTGGATTTATTGGTCAAACCATTGTTGGTGTCTCACAGGTTAAAAGTTCATTCCTCTCCATTAAAAATTCAATAAACTTCAATTGTTATTCATTTGTGAAAATTAAGTAGTTGTCAATTACTTAGTTGTAATAAGATAATTGACTTTTTAAAATTATTTATTTTTAATAATAAATTTACTTCATTAAATTTCATTCATTCATGAAAAATGTTAACTAGTTTAAATGAAATAGCCTATGATTGAAATGACTATCAATCTGCGAAATTTAAGGAAGACGTATCACACCCTTCAGGCTTTATATTCGTTATTCATATTATTGAACAACCTTCCCTGGCAACTTTTTTCATTTTCAGGTCCATTTTTCACAATAAAGCATTGTGAATCAACAACTTTTTTAAATATCACTATTATAAAGATTATTGGATTTGGTATAGGCTAGTTTTGAATAAACTAAGTATTATGCTACCAAAACAGTCCATTTATCAAGCGGATCACCTGCTGATCCAGGATTTAATTTGGAGGGTAGAGCTTCATAGCCCAGTCAAATTAGACATGTTATCTTGGCAAAAGGTCAGGCAATTAAAATGTTAGTCATAATGTTAATAAGCAAGCAGTTAATCACTGAGTTTATGTTGAGTTGAATAGTGAATTATTAACTGTTCAATTGGCACTGTTTTTATTACACTAAAGTTCACTAATTCACTGGTAATTAAGACATTTGTGAAAGAGGATAATGCAGGTTGGCAGTTAGAAAGAGGCGCATGCGCAGACTCTCAAACCATTTAAAGAGGACTTTTGCTGGGTTTATTGCATTATTTCAAAGCTTTAATTATTTTTTTCTCGATGACCTGGAATGTATAATAATAGAAATGAGAAACTGTTTTTTATTTTGATTGCTGTTTCATCACACGTTTAAGGCCTTCATCGTTACTGCTCGTCCCGAGCAACCCTCATCCAATGATATAAACCTGATGTGATATAAATAAATATATATTTATTTATTTTTGTTTTTCACTGCGATTCCAACCCCGATCTAACTTGCCAACCATACTATGCACCATTCAGTCAACTATTGCTCCATCATTATGAATAATGATGCATACATGGAATCAACAACTTGATCACATTATAATTGTATGAGATTCGACACAATTTTTGTGACTTTTTGGCACTTGAACCATTTTCAAATGTCATTTGTTGTGTTCTATTAGAAATCTAAAGTGCACATGAATTTTTGGTTGCTCGGATGACCCCCTGTCAAAAATCCGGCTTGATAATTATTTTGTATTTTCTAATTTTGCAGGTATTTGTTTTAAGCGTCCCTGCTCGATTGGCTGCAGTATGGTTCGGTTCCAACCAAGTTTCCAGCGCTTGCAGCATTGGAGTCTTCGGCAACCAGGTAAATCACTTGCACACAATTTTTCCCTTTCCTCTTTCTTATAAGAAGATAACTAAATGGTACTATGATGTGTTTCACATTTATTTTTTATACGATAAGTACATATTTGTAGTTTCATTAATTTTTTTGTATTATTTATTTATTAAATAATATAACAACCTGTCACATGGACATTGGTAATAGGGAGGTAAGATAACATTCATACAATATGTACAAAAAATATGTAAAATAAACAGAAGAAAAATAACTAAATAATAATCAAAAAGTATATACAATAAAAAACATAAAATAACTTAAAGATAAATAAATTAGTTTCATTATTAATGTAACTGTCTAGTTCGTAATGTGTTGTTCAACATGACCTCTCATGCACATCAGGAGGGCAGTTTCTATCTATTATGAAAAATCCAAACAAGTTATATTAGTTAGAAACTAATAATTTCTTATTTATGATATCCAGTAAAAGTTCTTCTTCTGTGCCTCTCAACAATAGAAATCCTCTACATATCCATCAACTCTTAATACATAGTCGAGAAAGGTATACTGGTGACATTAGGTTGAATATCTGGTGTATGTGAAATGTAACTTTTTTCAGATTTATTTGTTTATTGATAAATATAATTTATGCAATAATTTTTTTCTATGTTATATCATTATTTGTATGTAAGTAGCATAGATTCTAACATCGACATTTTCCCGAAACCAGACAAACCTTCCAATAATACACCATCATGTAGACCAATTAGCCTCTTCCAAATCCTTTCAAACATTTTAAAAAAAATACTATTAAAAAGAATCCTACCCACAATAGAATCCCAAAACCTTCCTACCCACCAATTCGGATTTCGCTTCCAACATTCCACTATTCAACAAGGACTCCGACTTGTTGACCACACATCCTCAGCCCTAGAAAGCAAAGAGTATTGTTCAGGAGCATTCCTGGACAACGTGCAAGCTTTTGACCGGGTATAGCACGCCGGACTGCTCTTCAAGCTTAAATCCCATCTACCTCATTCCATATATATTATTCTCCTATCCTACTTCTCTGACCGCTCCTTTCAAGTTCGCTGTGGTACAGAATCCTCCAACTGTCATTCAATCGAGGCGGGAGTTCCTCAAGGCAGCGTCTTGGGTCCCGTCCTCTACATTCTCTTTACCACTGATAATCCTACTCATCTCGAAACCCTCCTTGCAAAATTCGCTGATGACACAGCCATCTTATCTTCCAATCTATATCCTGAAACAGCATCCTTAAACCTACAAAGTCACCTCTCTCTTATTGAACACTGGTGTAATAAGTGGCAAATCCAAGTAAATAAATCCAAATCCAAACATATCAATTTTATCCTTCGACGCAATTCCTGTCCACCAGTCTACTTCAACTCCATACCACTTCCTCTGTTCGATACAGTCCGGCATCTTGGCTTTATTCTAGATAAAAGACTAACATGGAACCCACATACCAGACTTAAAAGACAACAACGATTCTGCTAACGATACGTACAGTTATATAGACTATTGAAAAGAAAATCTCAACTTTCAGTCCACAACAAACTACTAATCTACAAGACAATCCTGAAACCTATTTGGACCTATGGAATAGAACTGTGGGGGACAGCTAAACTGTGTTAAAAAGTTTTCAAACGCATTCAATCTTTCCAGTCTAAAGTCCTCCGATCAATAGTCGATGTTCCCTTCTATGTATCCAATAAAACCCTCCATAATGACATTCATGTCCCATTTGTTCTAGACCCAACCCCAGGAAAATTCTCCAAATTTTACCAGAACCTCACTCATCATCCAAATCCTGTACCACAATCCCTATCTAGCTCCAGCCATCCCTACTATCCTCCCCGGAGGTTAAAACGGCAGTGGCCCCTCGATCTTCTGTAAATATTTATATATTAAAGTTGCCAGGTTCTCTACTCAGGTCCTGAGCGTCTGTTGCTCTCCATCAGTTTCCACTGGTTTCTAATAACAGTGATGTGGCTGGCAGAGAAGCACTGGGATTTCTTGGATTTGGGATTTGGGAGTCCTGCCTTGGCTTCCACATTGGGGGATAAAGCATGACTCAAAGTCCCTAGGTGAATGTAAATATTGTATATAGGTGTGAATGTGTTTTATTTACTTTAATTTTATTTAGCTTTTATCCATTATTTCATTTTTTGTACTAATATGTCTGATTAATTCACTTATTTTATTTTTCTATATTTCTTTTTTTTATTATTTCCATCTTAATTATTATTGTTATGTACATATTGTGTGAATGATTCATGTAGCCTTAATATTAATGGCCTTTAATGTGGCAGAATGTATTAATATTCAATAATAAAAAATGTTAATTATATAAGCGTAATGGTTCCCTTATTTTAGCTGCATCTGTTTTGTAATTTATTGCTTTATTAATATGTTTTGTGATGAATATAGATTCTATTATTTTTGTGTGTTTGTACTATATGAGGTTGTATTAAATTGAATATGTCTCTATTTACAATACTCTGGTAAGCTAGGGCTGTTTTATTGTCTGATTTAGTATTTTTTGAACCCTTAAAATGTTGGTTCATTCTTTTGTCGATATTTTATCTGGATTCACCTATGTAACCGATTTGAAATTATTACATTCAACCTTATAAACAACATCTTTTTGCTTTAACCTATTTATTTTGTCTTTCATATGACTTATGAAACTGTATTTTATTATGAAATAAAGGTTGCAAATTGTGGTTAGTTGCTATATTATTAGAAGGTTTTGGTGTATTTTCTATTTGTTTACTAACTTGAAACAACATTTTGTTAATCATTGTCTTAGAAGACATATTTTCAATCAAAATATTGTAAATTTTTTTTTTTTTTCTATATTTGTCATATGTAATTTTACAAGCTCTACCAATGAGATCTTTTGCTGTGTTTGTTATATGTTATTTTGGATGTAAGGTATGGAAATTTAGTAGTCTGTTACTTGTTATATTTTTTAGGGTCTATTTTGTGGTAAAAGTTATCATTATTTTTAATTATCATTAAATCTAAAAATCTTAGATCTAGATTGGAAGATAAGATGGCTGTGTCATCAGCGAATGTTGCCAGGAGGGTTTCGAAATGAGTAGGAATAACAGCGGTAAACAGAATGTAGAGGACGGGACCCAAGACGCTGCCTTGAGGAACTCCCGCCTCGATTGAATGACAGTTGGAGGATTCTGTACCACAGCGAACTTGAAAGGAGCTGTCAGAGAAGTAGGATAGGAGAATAAGATATAAGGAACGAGGTAGATGGGATTTAAGCTTGAAGAGCAGTCCGGCGTGCCATACCCGGTCAAAAGCTTGCACGATGTCCAGGAATGCTCCTTAACAATACTCTTTGCTTTCTAGGGCTGAGGATATGTGGTCAACAAGTTGGAGTCCTTGTTGGACAGTGGAATGCTGGAAGCGAAATTCGAATTGGTGGGTAGGAAGGTTTTGGAATTCTATTATGGGTAGGATTCTTTTTAGTAGTATTTTTTTAAAATGTTTGAAAGAATTGGGAAGAGGCTATTTGGTCTACATGATGGTGTATTATTGGAAGGTTTGCCTGGTTTCAGGAAAAGGTCAATGGTAGAATCTATGCTACTTACATACAAATAATGATATAACACTGAGAAAAATTATTGCATTTTTAGGGATATTAAAAGTTATAAAATATATGCATGAATATATGAATGAATGAAATACAAATAACAAAAATGTATCTTGTTTCTAGACTGTTTTTTTTTTTTTTTTTTTTTTTTTGGTTCTCCCCTGCCTCGCCATTTAGGCTATACGGGATTTCCCCGGGCCGGACTGTGAGGGCGGGGAATTTAAGATCCCATCCGGCACCGGGACGCGAATTCGTACCTATTTTTGTCTCTCAATACTTCATGTATCTGCACACGCTTTAGCCCACGCTTCGGCCACCCCGCCCCCTTGTTTCTAGTCTTAAGATGAGATAATAAAGTTACTCCAAAACGTCATAAAAATAAAGACGATTTTTTTTTTTTAAGAATAAACTTATATAAGTATCTCCCTTAGAACTTATGAACAACTTACAATAGAGTTCAGAGAGTACATTCACACCATATTTATAGAACCATAAATAAATAAGATAATAACAAAATAATATACAGCAAAATAAGAACAAAATAAAATATCATAATGAGGGAAGAAAATAATAATAAAATAAAAATAAATAAATAATATAAAATAAAATGTTCTTAAAAAATAAAATAAACATCTTAGACGCAGGCATACCTATGTACACTATTTACAATCAGCCAGGGGAACTCCAAACCAGACTTGTCCCCCCACTAGTATACGGAAAAGCAAGGCTTCAGCAGATCCCTGTGCTTTTTCCTCAACCACTTCACTGGTATTAAAAGCCAGCGGATGCTGAGTAAAGGCGTTACAACCACAAACACTCATGACTTCAGTGTCCAATATATAAATGTTAAAAAAGGTCACGGGGCCACAGCCGTTTTAACCTGCGAAGAGGATTGTAGAGATGAGTGGTGCTACATGGAGACTGTGCTATAAAATCTGGGTGATGTGTAAGGTTCTGATGAAATTTAGAAAATTTGTCTGGGATAAAATCAAAGGTAAATGGAATATTTATGTCACTATGCAGGGTTTTGTTAGTTCCATTGAAGGGAGCATCGACTATTATATGGAGGACTTTAGACTGGAAGGATCGAATGTGTTTGATGTTAGAAGATTTGGTTTTCCCTCACAGTTCTAGTCCGTAGATCCAGATGGGTTTTAGTATTGTCTTGCAGATCACTAATTTGTTTTCAATAGAAAGTTTAGATTTTCTAGTCAGTAGTCTATATAGCTGGCCATAAGGTGGGTAAGTTCCTGTCTTTTAAATCTAGTATGCGGGTTCCAGGTTAGTCGTCTGTCTAAGAGAAAGCCAAGATACCGAACTGAGTCTGATAACGGAAGCTGGAGGGAGTTAAAATAAACTGGTGGACAGGAATTACAATGAAAGGTAGAGG